TCTAGGACCAAGGAGCTATAATTTGGACTTTATCTCTATTTCAAGCATTTTTGTATTTCTTTTCTGCCCTCGTCTTGCTACTACGTATTTGTTTACTTCATTAGTTTTTTGACATCTCAAGATGAAGATGATGACTCTTTTTGGGCTCACCAATCTATCCTTTTCTTTCTTTTTTTTTGGACCAGATGCTCAGTTGAGCTTGTTGGCCTTTGTTTGATACCATCTTAATATTTGTAGAGTTTCATTTCGAAATCAATTGATAATGAGAAAAGTAGTCCATGTATATAAAAAATTTTAAGTCCCCGATCTTCTCAATGTGAGATCCTTAACAGGGGAGCTTTTAGGACATGTAAACTCGATAGCATACACAAAATTTGTGACCACCACATGGGACATTTGCAAAAGCTGAATTGGAATCTCTATGAATTCTACCAGTATGATCTAACAGTGACACATCTAGAACTCATGGTCATACTTGTACTTTTTCCATATATTGTTGCCTTTTTCTTAATTTATGGAAGCAAAGTAATGTGGAAACAGCTCATGACGGATAAACCCCTCAACAAAGATTCATAATGACTTTTAGCATTGAGGCAAATTGACTGAAATCGTACATGATTCTGTTAGTTTTAGCAGAACCTAATTTTTTTTCAACAGATTCACTCATCCATGATCCGTATACCTTTGACATCTAATGATTATAGTTTCTCCATACCCTCTGAGTTTCCACATGTATAGTATTGTTAAAGAATATGATAACTTCTTCTTCCTTTTTTCCTTCATTGAATTAGTGCCCACTTTAATCCTACTACATGAAGATACACTGCTTATATTACTGTTCTTACTCTGTCTTGACACGCGGTCCACTTTTCAGGGCGTAGTGCTAGATATACTTGTTGCAGTGGGCATTATTCGGTCAACCCATATATGGTTAGACGTTGAACATGTTGAAGAGGCTTTCCAGAACGTGTTGATATGTTTAGAGATGATTGTCTTCTCTGTTTTCCAGCAGTATGCCTTCAATGTTGGACCTTACAGTGGAGAAGTTGAAAGGAAACTGAAAATGAAAAAGAACGATTAGTGCTGGAAGTAGCTTTGATGAAAATGTGGTGAAGATTGCTATTTGACAAGTCTTGTATATATATAATGAATGGCGCTTATGATGGGCTGCTATTTTCTCACTTTCAGTTAGGTTGTCTTCAACAGTAAGGGGAAAAATATGTACTCAAGGAAGCAGAATTTAGACTAGAAATTTTTGTTGTTGAAACAATATGTGGGCACTTGCCCGACAGTCTGATAATAGGAGTATGGAATTTTTTTTCAAAGTAGGAAAAAATATATTGGTGAAGTTCTGGGGATATGGTCAACGTCAAACATTATAATATATTTGGAAAAACATACATTTTTTTCGTAAAACTGCAGTGAAACTGTTTCTTTTCAAGAAAATAGATAGAATTTGGTAGAAGATAATGTTGCTTTAGGCTTTATTGTCCAATCTCTAAACAAACCACTTGAAAGAAAGACATCTTTAACATTTGTGAAAAATCTATAATTTTGATCATGTTTTAGAGTTTAGACAAAGAACTTAATCTTCTCCTAATAATAGTAATAATAAAATATCTATTCCTTTATTTTATTTTTTCTTAAAGGCCATGAAGCATGGAAAAATGGTGTCTCGCCCTATTTTTTATGTTAATTACATCTTAACATTCATTAACTAAAGAAGCAATGAGATCAATGTGAATGTTATGATTAATGATAAACTTTAATTCTATATTTAAGAAAGTTGGCATAAATGGTCACATTTTTATTGAGTTTTTGTAAAAGAGAGAGAGAAAAATAAAACGCTTTAAATTGTTGACCAATATTCTATAATCTATATATTATGAACAAAAACAAAAATTAGGCCTGGCATAGGAAGAATTAAGCTAAGATGGCAGGGAATATTCTGTGGTGCAATCACCGACACGTGTCAGCCAAGAGAAGCGTGGACGGTGAGTCAGTTACGGCGGCAGTGGAGCCGGAGCCTCTACTTTGACCGGGAAGGAAGTCTTTTTTTAACTGTTTCAAGCTTTTCTCCACCATCCGATCCGACGTGTCGGCGGTCTAATTCTCCATTTTCGTTGACAATTTGACCGGCCGGGAAGAGGATTTGTTAGGTGGTGGGTATGTTTTTTACAGCCCTCTTAATTATCCGTTGGTTTGGTTAACAAACGATTTGTCGTCATCGTGAAAACAAAATTTTCTCAAGCCCTTTAATTTAACTTCCCCGAAGGTTCCTCCGTAAATCGACTCCACTGTCCTGTTCTTAGCTGTCTGAACTACGGACAATTTTGACAACACGCTTCTTTCAAAACAGAAATTATGAAAAACAGCATAATTTAATACTAAAATTAAAAATAAAATAAATAAATAAAAATAGCACCCGGCCCTATTTTTTTAGTTTCTTTTTTAATTTATAAAATATAAAGTATGATTTTAAATATGTTGTTTTTGTTAAAAAAAAGTATGTAATCTATTGATTAGAACAAATACTTTTTTTTTTTTTTTGTATTAAACTTTTGTTCATGAAAATTGAGAAATTTGGGCAACTTGTAATGAGTCGTCGGTGGTCAGTTGTGGGGAGGCCATATCCTCCATATCTACTATTGTTTTATCAGTTATGGGCAGTGTGAAAGCATGGACAATTAACGATCATGTCTTATATTTTAATCTTTTTTTCTTTTTCTTTTGTAAGTGTCAGCTCTCAGCAATGCCATGTAGGGGAAGATGAGGATTATATCTGTCATGTCATTGTTTTATATTTGTATTATTGTCTACGAACCATACTTTATTAACTACCTCTGCTAACTGCCATACCCCATTTTTCTATATTATTTTCTATATCAATAATATGAACATTGAATAGTTTTTCATGGGTTAGGTCCTTGTTGATAGGTTTTGCTGGGTCGTGACACGATCATGGCTTGACTCTAAATACATGTGTCAATAAAACAATGATTTAGTAATACATTAATCTTTTTTTTAACAAATTTTAACAATTTTAGAATCTAACTGACCTCATTTAAAATTTTTGATAAATTTAGAAATTTTAAAAGATTAAGAATTAATTTGAAAATTATCTAAAATATACTATATTCTAATCAAATAGAAAATGTTGCCTGTATATTTTTTTTTATACATTAAGATAATTCTCATCGAAAGGACACTTGTCAATTAGATCCTTAAAACTCAAACTAATTATTAAAAAATTTATGATATATTATATACGATGACTTAAGAACTAAGATTTTCTAGATGAAAGAAATAGTCAAAACTTTCGTATAATATTACAATGAACAACATTGCTAGCTGAATATTAACTAATATCACATACTTTAGATTTTATTAAGCACTAGTAGTTTTAATTCAAAAGTATATCACGTCATGTTTTTAAAATATAAACTCCACACTTTAACACTTGAAATTTTATAATTAAAATTTTTAGTGTGTTAGTTTCAAAAATATTGATATTTCTACTTTATTTTTGGATTAAATTACCTTATAAAAAGATAACTGTGTTATTAGCCAAAAACACTCCCTACCGCTTGATAATATTTTTATTTCTTGTTTTTTGTTTTTCGTTTTTAATTTTTGAAAAACCTAAATATTTGATAAATATAAGTAATAAAATCAAATTTATTATTTATTGTTTTCATTTTCATTTTTCTTCAAAAACATAAATAAATGTATTATTTTATCATTATCGACTCAGGTAACATTAAATATTTTATTAAAAATTAATTTCCATTAAAAAATCTACTTTATTTATTTATTAAAAAAATAGTATAAAAACAGAATCCATAAAAGAAAGATAAACGGAAAATAAACGAAAAATAAGAAAGAGAAATGTCATTTGCCCAAACTTAACATCAAAGTTGACAGAATCAACAGTTAATCCAAATTCCATGTCGGTTGAAAGAAAGTGCCAAAGCATTTTTTCTTTCTCTTTTCTCTTTGAACTTTTCCAGTAAAATCCTTGGCAACCAATTACCAAACAGCCATAGATTTTCCATTTAATGAGTCGTGATCAATGAGTTTCTTCCATTAATACGCGTTAAACTTCAATTATCATAAGTTAATTAATTGATTGATTAGATACACGAATTTCTTGCACTTCAATTAAAACGGAAAAAATGAAAAAAAAATATGCACGAATTTTTTTCAGTTCTTTCAAATATTTTGGTCCTAAACCAGTCGATTCAGTCTGATTAATGGCTTTCCCATTGGGACCCACAAAATTTCGAGCTGATGCCGAAATTTCCACACAGAATTAGGATTTTACGCAACCATAAGATTTTCATAATAAATAAATATATATATATATATATATATATGTAGCTTTCATTTCTTCTCATTTAATATTTTAATGTCGCTGCAATTTATTGTGTGTAGTTTCAACATTTAATGATGAAGGATGCATTTATATTTTCAAAATTTTGAACCCATCCTTAAATACTAATTCTGTTTTAATAGTGCTTTTAATTTCACTATATATATGTTTTAGTATAGAATGTTTATGATCTTTCCAATTTAATTTATATTATTTAAAAAGTTTAAATTTATTTTTTATAATTTTATAATTTCTTCTCCAAATTTTCAAGAAATTGTTAAAATTGTCAAATTTTTTCTTTTAATCAACATGATATGATATTAAAATATATTTTATTCATTAGAAACGCCTCATATTTTTAATGTTAAAAAATATCCCAAATTTTTTTTTCTAGAAAACGTTCCTATTTTAATTTAACAAGTAGCACATGCACACCCATGAGATTGACCGCCTGCCAATTTATAAGGTTTTCTTTTATTATTATTTTTTTTTTGTTTTTTACCTAACTAAGTATTAGATATTGTTAACTAATTCAGTTTAATTTTTCAATATTGTACATATAAGTTGTGTAATTAGTTTAATTTCTTTATACTATATTAAAGATGGACAAATCAATACTCAACCCAAAAGCTTAAATTTTTGGGTTGATTGGTCGTTTATTCATCTTTAAAATGGTATCAGAGCAGGAGGTCTTATGTTCGGACCCGTGCGCATTTACTTGTTGGGTCTCGATATAATTTTCCAAGCCTACAAGTGAGGATGAGTGTTAGAATTCAAATAAATGAATTAAATTTACCCAACTCATCAGTTTAAGCTTTTTGGGTTGATTGATCATTTATTCATCTTTAAAACTAAGCCATAAATCATAATAACTCATCCGACTTGAATAAATTGCTAAAGTATATATTGAATCTAGTTTTTAGGAAAATATTATTTTATTTTATTTTTAGTATAATAAAAAAATAACAGATTGAAACTTTTGACTAAATAATGTTGTGATTAATTAATAGAATTAACATTTGATCAATATCATCTAAAGGTAGAGAGAGGTAAAAAGTATTTTACTATATCTATATTAAGTTTTTTTTTTAAGTACACTATGTATATTAAGTTATTAACAAGGCAAATACCTTTATTGACTTAGATGTCTTCTTCTTTCATTTATTTATTTAATTTATCTTTGAAATTGATTTTTATATTACTTACACTAACCGATTGAGATGGCTACCAATACGTGTAAACTCATTAAAATTTTAATGTAAAGTCAACATTCTTCGAGGTTGACTTGAATGGACTCAACTAATAAATATGGCCCACGTGTACTTTGGTTGTGAAATTTTTAATCACACTCGCAGATTGAATTTCACATTCTCGACACCATTTAAGTTTCCATTAATTAAGATGACGTAATTGAGGTGTTAGGGGAGAAAGAGAGATTTTATTTAATTAAATTGTTAATTAAGTTGATACACATTTGTAATTATAATGGTAAGTTTATCCAACCTTATCCTCTTTGTAGATATTAGAAGAAAAATGCTCCCAAAAAATCTTTTAAATAACTCAAATTATTCTCCTATTAAATCATACTATTTTCATTGAAAACAATATTTTCTTTTCCTTAGAACCAGTAAAAATATGAAAGGTTGGTTTGATAATAATTATGTTTCGAATTTTCCATTGTGTTTGTTTTTCTAATAATTTAATCAAACGTAAATTGATTTTGATAGAACATATTAGAAGAATATAGAGCAATCGTCTGAACTTCGGTAGTTCAATATATTTAAATAAGATTTTGATTACTGAGAAATAATGAATATATAAATATAACATGCTGTCATTTAATGCTGGATATATTAAATGTATTATATTTATAATGATAATGTATGGAATTTTAGGTGGCTTAAAAGAATCTAATAATTATATCATTTGTTGATGTGCGTTTCTAATCAAGGTGACACGTCAACAGACAATTTGATATTGGACTCTGATGCGACTTATCTATGTGGTACTTGATCATGTAAACTCCAAAATCTAAGATAATAATTGGTCTAAGTTGATGTTGAGATGAGCAGTTAAATACAAATATTGCATACCTTTGAAAATGTGAGACTCTGCTTTTTATAAGAGGATACTGGAATGTGTGGTTCTATTATTATAGCCTATGTATATATCATTTAACGGATATTTCATCGATAATTAGAAGATCCACTACTAGCAGAATTGATACTTAGTTGCAAGCGAATTTTCAGTCAGAATCTTTTTTAAATCGGAGCTGAGTTGAGTCTTGTTTTTGGACACGTGCTTCGTATTTGAATTGAGGTAAGGATACACGTGTCTCAACAGGAGAGGGCCACACGTTTGTGGTCAATTTGACTCCTTGACAATAATATTATTCCCTATTAAAATATTAGACGTTTATTAAAAAGAAAAAAAAAGCCATGAAAATAAATACTTCCAACGAGGTAAATCGAGAGGGAAAATAGAAAGGAGATTCTGAACGGACATATTAAGAAAATATCATAATTTGAAATAGTTTAATAAAGAAGGAAGGATTTTGTTTTGAATAGATAGGATTGGATTGAATGGAATGGAATGCGTGGTCGGCAAGGAGGGGCGCGGTGGCGGGAGCTGTCACACACGTGCAAGGGCGGAGGCAGAGCCACCCCGCAGCCGGTGGGCCACCGCTTCAGGATCGTGGAACATCCTCCGGGAGTAACGGTCAATGAAACGACCGTTGAGGGATTAGGGATTTTTTTTCTTAATAAACAAATATTACTTCGAAAAAAAGTGTTGGGAGATTAAAGGGGTTGGCTGAGATTGAAAAATGCCTAAAATGGCAGTAAAGCGTAGCTTTAAACC